TTCACTGTACAGCAGTTCCCGAATCCTCATGAGAAGGCCACGCCCACACCAAGGCCTCATTGGCTGTATCCTGATTGACAGGCTAGACTCCACCCCTACACCCTTAATCCTCAAATGGACACCAGATTATGTAACGACCACACTAAGCAAATAACCCAAGAAGCTGGAAAGTCCGGAGGAGGCAGCCTAAGGATCGGAGGAAGGTTCAGCGGCAATTGGTGGTACGCAGATTGGCAGGCTTCCTTGCCGAAATCAAGGGCTTGAAACCCTTGCGGGTGATGAACAAGGGCCGGAGCCTTCAGTGTGGCGTCCAGCTCCACGTAACTCATTGTCCTCGAGCGGGTTCCGAATCAGCGGGACCCTACAGGACAGAGTGGAACCATCAACAGGGGTTCCCGAGACAGGCAACCTCGACGGGGCTAGAAAGCCTCATCTTCCTCCCGCCGAGCAGCTGGTGGTTTCAAACTGGTCACCGGTTAGCGGCCCGATGCGTCACTCACTCCACCGCCACCAGGGCTCCCAACAATGAAAATAAAACCAACAGCTTCACAGCTGCACCAAGAGACAACACCATGATACACAGAGACAAGATGGAAGCTGCCCGGGCTCTCGTCTTGCTGGGACCCACAATCAGGGCCCGTGGGAGCAGCGGTCAGGAGACCAAATGACGGGCTGCATTGGGTCAGTCTGCTGCGCGAGACCTCTTTGGGGTGTTCAAGAGCAAAGACGTCGCTTTGAGGACAAAGGCACGCCTGACTCAACCCAGGGTGTTTTCACCTGCCTTCTCCGCAGCTGAGAGCTGGACACCGAATAAGGAGGACAGAAGAGGAATCGCTGGATTGGAATGATGGAGCTGGGGAAGAAGATCGGCAGTATCACGAACTGCCCAGCGAACAAACACATTTGACCAGGAAGAAGCAGGGCCAGAATGTCCCTTAAAAGGAAGGATGGTGAGACTGTGTCTCGCAGGCTTGGGTCATGTTGTCAGGAGAGGCCAGTCCTTGGAGAAGGACGTCCTGTTTGGTACAGTAGCGAGGGCCATCAAAGAGAGGAAGACGCTCGACGGGATGAATCGATCCGACAATGGGCAGAAACATCACCAGTATGATGTTTCATACACGGGCAGTGCTGTGCTCTGTTGTACACAAGGAGCTAGGTGTTGGGACCACGTGGGCAGCACCTCACACAACAACCAGAGCTCCATGCTCGGATGCGTTCACCGTGATCACTCCCAAGGAGCTGGGGTACTCTCCTCAAAGTCAGCAGTTGGAAACCACCGGCTGCTTCGCAGGTTTTTTGCTCCCCTAAAGATTTACAATCTCGGAGCCCAGAGGGTCAAGTCTATCCGGTCCTATCGGGCTGCTATGAGTCAGCATTGACTCGATGACAATGCATGTGGTTGGATTTATTATTACCACCACTGTCGAGTTGATTCGGACCTCCGACCCA